TCTGTTATTTTATTTTGTCAATTGAAATAGCCACCATTTCTGACAACGAATACATAAAAAACAACAACAAAACTCACCTATGAAAAGGCATCACCTATTTCCTTTTTCAGGCTAAGTTTCATGATTTTTGCTAACAATAGTTTTGGTTGAGATCAATTATATCTAGTAAACATAGTTTGTTTTATTTGTATGCATTGCTTAAGTATAATGAACTTGATAATTTTCAATAAGTAAGGATTTCAATGGCTGGAATATATTGCCATTGTTTACAATACTTGTAAAACTTAACTAAGATTACCTGATGTCTTGTTGTAGAAGAGCATTTCTGTAGCTTTTAAGTAGATGTAATTTAACTTAAAATTTTTTCAATAATGAAATGAAAATCTAAAGAAACTGATCTATGGTTTATTCCAAAAGTGTTGTAACCTTTACATTAGAATCCTTTGTTCACTCCAGCAAGAGCTCTGGCAGCCAGTATCTCAAGCAACCATAATTTACTGCTCAAAACCACTACTTGCTTTCTAGACTTAGTTTTATTTCCAGTCCTTGTCTCTAGCTGAGATTCAAGGATAATTGTTCAAACCACATGCTGTGAAATCATAAATGAGTAGCAAGAAAGGACTGTAATAATAAAATTATTACCAGAAAAGAAAAATAATGTGAAAGACAAGACATAAATCATTATATTTTCAAAGAATGGTAATCTCTTAGAAAATATAAGCCTATACTTTCAAGGGGCAGAAAAATTAAAAGAACTGATAAATTTATTATGTACAGAAGAGACTTCTGAGAGCTTGAGTTTTAAATATTTTCATTTTCTTTGCAAATTACACTAAATAAATATTATGCAATGAGACAGTGTCAATTTTAAAATATTTTGGAGTGAAAAATTGATAAAACAAAGTTAGAATTTTTATTTTTTTACTTACATTTTGAAATTTAATGTGCTGACTGTACCTGTAAGGTGCTGTCCAGTTGTGATATGGTTAAATAAATCAAAATCGTATGATAAGAAAATATGCTAACTTAACATTTGACAATTTTTACTTTTTTTTTGTGATTAAAGACATAGTAATTGTGTGAAAAACACAAGTACGAGACTTAGTATATTATGCTTTATTGATCACTGGACATCAAAAACTCATTTTATTCTACAATCATTATATACGTATTATACATTCAAGACCATCTAGACATTGAAGAATTATTTTATTGTACATTCATTATTCATTATCTTTATTGTACATTCAAGTCCATACATTAATGAACATAAAAAATTTATTTGATTACTCACTCATTATTTATATTTTACATTAAAGACCAAACATTCATCTGTTATTTTGGGCTTTTTGATAGGGTTCAAGATTTAATGCACATAGTTCCATCAAAAACAGGAAACTTTTGTGGCATGGTACTAACGTTGCCGTTGTGGCAGCCATCATGAAGAGTGGGCTGAGAATTATGCCTCACAGTGGAGGGCGTGTTGGAAAAGGAATTTATTTTGCATCTGAAAACAGCAAATCTGCTGGATATGGTAAGGACTGAACAGTAGTTAGGTTAGTAAAAGCAGTGTAGTACTAATTTCATAGTTAGAGCCCTGGACTAAATTTTCAGGTCAGTGTGACACTATCATCAAG